AAAAAAAAACTTTTTTGTTTTTATGAAAGGCAGGATGGTCCAGTGGTTAGGGTGTTAGCCCAGGACTTGGGAGACCCAGGTTACATTCTTTGCTTTGTCATAGACCTCCAGAGTGACCTGGGGCAACCTCTTTGTACCTCAGTTCCCCATCTGTAAAGTGAGGGATAACAGCACTGCCCTGCCTCACCGCGGTGGCATAAGGATCAATATATGAAAAATTGTGAGGTACTTGGATACTCCAGTCAGGGGAGAGGGGGGACCATATAAGTAGCTTTACCAAATTTGAGATCCAGTTAGAGGGAGATGATAATATGCCTGTGTGGAGGGGACAAAGGAGATGCACTGATTGCTATACTCTGGTCCCACCTGAAGGTGTCAGAGCAGACAGCAAGGTAAATACATTTTCACCCTCCCGCCTCCCCGTCCCCTCCATACATGAGTGCTACAAAGTTCAGCTGCCTTTGATGAGCCTCCAGGGGCATCACGGGCACAGACGGGCTTCCCTCTAACACAGCAGCTCCCCGACCAACATCGAGGGCACCCTAGGCGGGGGTCGTCCTGCAAAACGTCCAATGCAGAGCCCCCCTTGGTGTGAGAGCAGGGCAGGCGGGGGACTCACCCGAGAAAGTAGCCGCTACGGGGGGGAGAGCCGTTGCCCCTCAGCCCCACACGAGAGAACAATGAGGTGGGGGGAACCAACCCCTCCGGCTTGCGGCTCTGTCCCAGCATTGGAACGTTCAGACACTGAACGTTCCAGTCGCCCCGCCCCGGAACGTTCAGACAATGAGCGTTCCACCCGCTTCCCCGGGGCTCAGAGGGGCTGACAACGGTCAGGTGCAGGGCGTTCCGCCCTCCGCAGTCAAGGGAACAGGGCGCCTGCCGCAAGGATGCAGGAGGGGCTGTGGCTGCTGCAGGGTTGCTCTTCAGCACCAGGGACAGCTCCCTATGTCCTGCCTCTGTCCTGACGCAGGGGTGGGGCGGCGCTGCATCCTGCCCCCTGCCCATTGGGGTAGTGCACAGACGCTGTCACACTGGGCAACGTGCCGGCTCTCTGGGGAAGAGGCTTGTCACTGGAGGGGTCCACTCCAGAGCACTGATAAGGGAGGAGGTTGAAGGGGATCTTCTCTTTATCCCTGGCAGGGGCAAAGAAGTGCCTTATCATCATTGGGAGAAGAGGTGGCGCTACCCTTAGCTAGTGTGGGGATGCCTGGTGGGAAGAGGAAACAGGCTTGGAGTTATTTGATTCCCTGGATGGTGGAACATGGGTGTGGGCAGGACCCTGAAAACATTTTCCTGGCTCCTGAGAGGAAGGGTTGGGAGACCTTATCCTACTCCATGGGAAGGAGCCTTGTTTTAATGCCCCTCTAATTCTAGAGCCCAGTCAAAGGGGCAATGACCTGTCTGGCCATTAGGATAGTCTAAGGAACTATATTCATAATAACAGAATAATAAAATACCCAGAGCACTTTTCCTGCACGCTCCAAAGCCATCCCATAAGCATCAGTTTTGCCTTGGACACATAATGCAATGAGTATCTGCTTCTTCTCCTCACTCCCACACAGGATAAAATATTTTCACAAACAAGATAAATAATTGTAAAGTCCCTTCTACTTTTAAAGACTGGGCCAAATTTGCAAAAGGAACAATTAGGCACAACTCCATTGCCTTCAGACAAATTTTGCCTGTGTATACCAACAGTGAATTTAGTTCAGTAGATTCAAATTAGACTCATGTAAAGAATTCCTTAACTATGCAACAGTATCTGTTATCCCTAATATCTAGTGCTGGGAAGTTCAAAACAAGTATCTCTTTGGGAGAGGAGTGATTCATGTTTTCAATAGAGCTGGTAAAATGATTCATTGCAAATAATATTCACCGTGAAGTTAGCCTTGGTTCTGTTTTCGAATCATTCACAAAGTAACCCTTATAGTTGTAAATGTACTTGTTGTTCATAGGTATTCACCAAACAGTTTGGAAGAACACTTTCCAGCCTATGGTTTGTTTTTACTATTTGCCATGTGTGAGTGGTCATTTATGTCACATAGGCCTTGTCTACACTAGAACAGGTTTGCCAGTAAACCTATACTGGCAAACCATCCTAATGTAGACACAGCTTATTCCGGTTTCCTGAACAAAATAAGCGATGCTGGCAAAAAGACTTTTTTGCTCGCATAACTACATCTACACTAGGGCTTTTGCCAACACAGCTGTCTCAGGTGGGACTTTTTTTTTTTCCCACTCTTAATTGACATCGCTCTGAAGTGTAAACTAGGCCATATTGTATTCTTCCTGTTCCCGGATTGGATGAAACTTTTATACAGGAAATTAATATATATCAAGTAGCAAATATTGCGCAATGTTTGTGCTTCCGGTGGCTTTTGGATGAAGAATCTGTGTGCTAAAATTCATATAAATGTCAAGACGTGAACATTTTCAGGTGTATCCAGTGGTTGCTGGAATGTTCATTGTGGCAACCCAGTGAAGTAAGGCTGTTTATTCATGAATATACCTTCCGATCTGTGAGGGGAAGGGTTACAATGTTATTATTCAACCAGCTGTAATTTTCTCCAATAATCAGAGGGCATGGGAATCATTTTGTATTCACAAGATGCAGCACGTCAACAAATAAAACTCTTTAGGGTCAAATTGTGCCTCCTTTTGTTCAGACCAGTGAACACTTTCTCACACGAGTGGGTCCACTGACTTCATGTGAGCTCACCACGGTAAGCAAAGGGGTCGCCCTATGCCCTTTATTAATTAAAAATTGTAGAGAGTGATTTATAAAATGTCAGTGTTGTCTTTAGTAGGAACTCCCATGCAATATGAGTTATGCAGTACATCTGAACCTATCTCCTGCAGCCTGGCAACTGTCTCTGTTGCTATAGAAACATGGTTTCACCATCCTTTCATGCTGAACTTCAAGTATTTCCATTCCTCCCTCTTGTTAACATTTTATAAGTTGCCAAACACCCTCAGTTCTTGTTTATTTTATTCTCTTGATTATATGAATAATTAGGATCTCTTCCCAAAATATGCAATTAAAAAAAAACGTTATTCAGCACTTCTTGTTTCATTAACTGAAGAGTATTTGATAGCTGAATAAAAGTTCTTACACAATTTAATCTACACAGTCAGTTTGCACTGTAACTATCATTGGATATGTTTAAGATACAGAGTTATAACCTATTTAATGTTTATGAATCATCTTTGTGAATCATCATGTACATAACAGAGGTGATGCGTTTAAAAGAAAAATGTTGAAAATATGCCTATTGCACAAAAGTATCCATTAGCTCAAACACTTTTTCTTAACATGACAAACAGCCTTTGGAACTCACTGGGACATGATCTTCCAACACTAGAGCAATGAAGTCTATATAAGTAGATAATATTATGCAAAGAGCTTAGCAGGATTCAAAAAAGGATCAGACCATTGGCCGGACAGCTCAAGAGTGCTACATGACAGCAAAGTATTTTTCTTATTATCTGTGTAAATAATAAAAATATCTGCAGGCTACGTTCAATAGGGCAAAAGACTCTGGGAAATAGCTAACCTCATGCTTCAAAACATAAGGCTACCACTAATTGCCTGGAGTTGGGAAGCCATGTCTCCCTGATTACTGCAACATTTACATTATGGGGCTTTCCCACCTTTCCCTGAAGCATTTTGTCCTGGTCCCTGTGGGAAAGAGGATTCTGTGTTAGATGGACAGTTGATCTGATCCAGTTCAGCAATTCCTGTTTCCATAGTAGTCAGCAATGTAAAGGTCATCAGGTTCACTTTGTGTCATTCTGGGCCCGATCCCTAGCTGGTGTAAATTCTCACAGTTCCATTCAGTGGCGCTAGACCAATTGGATCGGGCCTTGGATTTATCACTGGAGGGGTCCAGATCACTGATGGGGGAGGAGGTTGAAGGGGATCCTCTCTTTATCCCTGGCAGGGGCAAAGAAGTGCCTTTCTTATTATCATTGGGGGAAGAGGTTCAGGCCCAGTTTTGGGGCCCCCACTACAGAAGGGATGTGGACAAATTAGAGAGGATCCAGCGGAGGGCAATGAAAATGATTAGGGGCCTGGGGCACATGACTTATGAGAAGAGGCTGAGGGAACTTGGGTTATTTAGTCTGCAGAAGAGAAGAATGAGGGGGGATTCGATAGCAGCCTTCAGCTACCTGAAGGGGGGTTCCAAAGAGGATGGAGCTCGGCTGTTCTCAGTGGTGGCAGATGACAGAATAAGGAGCAATGGTCTCAAGTTGCACTAGGGGAGGTCTAGGTTGGATATTAGGAAACACTATTTCACTAGGAGGGTGGTGAAGCACTGGAATGGGTTACCTAGAGAGGTGGTGGTTTTTAAGGCCCGGCTTGACAAAGCTCTAGTTGGATGATTTAGTTGGTGTTGGTCCTGCTTTGAGCAGGGGGTTGGACTAGATGACCTCCTGAGGTCTCTTCCAACCCGAATCTTCTATGATTCTAGACATTTCTACTGTTAAAGGCCTGATCCTGCAGGTCTGATTCTCGCAATCGCTCACTGATGCAAATGGGAGTTTTGACTGAGGAAGGGCTTCTTCTAAAACCCAAGGCAGAATCTTTTGTAAATGCTGCCTCTTGATTTTAAGTGCTGAATAGACGTGGCTCTCTCCATTAGTCCTTCAAGTATCCAGACAAGGCAGACTATTCAGAGAAACCTTTACTGTTCTGTGAAATATAATGCCGGTTTGTTTTGTATAGCCAGGGGGTCGTGCACAGGTGCTGAGGTCAAGACCACCCTACCTTTCCCATCTTGCTAAATAGGAGAGGGTCTAGAAAGTGGAGAGGGAAGTGCTGGTGTAGTAAAGATTGAGACCTAATGATATTATGTACCCCTTTCTCCTACACTGGACAAGTCTCAAATGCTTTACAGAGTTAAATACCAATTGAAGGTTTAAATAATGAATAATAGCAGCGGGAGCACACAAAAAAAAGGGAGAGAGAAAAAAGCAAGGGGGGAAGAGATGTTCTGCCTGAGAAATCCATATAGAAAGAATTTGATTTGATACTTGTCAGCTGTGGGTCGTAATCCTAACAGAAATACTGGGAGGAGACCAGCAAGAGACTCCAGATCAGTTGATTTTTGGCATATACAATGCTACAGTTCCTAAGCCTACGGGGTACAAAAGCCAACTCTCTCCTACTCCCGCCAATCAAAATGGATTGTTCTGAAGCTGGATTGCTTGTGTGATAAAAGTGTAGGAAGCTGACGGCTGCAGAGTAATGCAGAAATAGCATGAGAGAGAGAGAAGACAAGAATCAAGTAGCAGAGGAGATCATCAACAGCATTAACGGAGACGTCTGTAACCTCAGCAGCTGTGTTGATGCTGCTTTCCGTAATAGGCATCAGCCTTCTATCCCTGGGGAGATTTTACAGCATTCATTTGCTCTGCACGATTGCAGCCAGCAAGGCTTCCCTTCAGCAGCAGCCTTTCCCGACCCTCCACCTCCCTCTGCTACAGCGAGAGTGAGAGGCCCAGTAGGAATCGTACCTCTCCAGCTGATCTTCCTTTGCTCTCTTGGCCCAATGTCTCCTGTGCCCAATGAAGCAGATCCCGAAGTGCCCCGAATGGACCCAAGGATTCTGATTTTCCTTCTCTATGTGGTGATCCTCCATGAGTTGGTCAGTGGCTGGATGGAGTATCAGAAGCAGGTAACCAAACCTAAGAAGCAAGTGGGTCCAGTTTGGTCCTCTAGGTGAGTTGATGCTTAATATTAAAGAAGAGGGGACTAGCTGGATGCTTGATTCATATAGGTAAAGACGGGGAAGGTTGCTCTCTTATAGATGGTTACATTGTGTACGTATATCTCCCTCTGCACTGTGTGAATACACTATCGTGGGTTAGGGCTGTTAATCTTTTGACCATGCACAATACAAACACATTGTGGATTTGATTGATAGTCACAGATTTATGCTTATGATTTGTTTTAATGTGGCTAGATACTATAACTGAGTGACTTAGTCTCCCAAACAGCGTATATTGGAGGAAAAGAATGTGGATAACTATATTTCATGCACAATATTCATCAGTGTAACATAAACCTCAATAGAGGACTAGCAATCTGAGCATTTTAGATTAAATCACTAGAGATTATGTTACTATCGAGTGCTCTCTCCCCCACTCTTTGTTTGGGCTCTGCCCATTATACTAATCATTTTTCCCCCTGCACAACATGAAATATTGTGTGGGGAGATGAGGCTTCAAAAGAAAAGCCCCAAATGTCCTTAATACTTACTATTAAGTGTGTGTCTGTGTGATCCTTAGCCTTGCATTCCAGTAACATAACATCCTCACGCTTGTGATAACCGTGTCCGTAATAATTCTCGAGTTTTATGACGACATATTATTTGGCATCAATTCATCAGGCACGTATGCAACACACACTGCTAAAAGATTAAAGAAAGAGAACTCCTATTCAAAGAGAAAGAGGAGCCATTAAAATGCCGCTCGAAAAAAGCTGTTCCATTTCCCATCATTCAAACGATCCCAGGTCTCCGAGCCGCTGGCAATAGTGAAATGACAAGCTCCTGGCCTTGGAGCAAAAGGTACCAGTGACACAATTCTCACTGGGTCGCAGAGCCAAAGCAGAAGTGAAACAGCTTGCAATGGCGCCCAAGAGCCACGGAGGGGTTATTGTTTATATTCTATTAGTACCCTAGAGGCTCCAGCCCAGATCAGGGCACCATGGTGTGGGTGCTGCACATACACATAAGAGACAGGCATGTCCCCAGAGAGCTTGTGGTCTCTAGATAAGACAGACAAAGGGTGGGAACATAAAGCAAAGTGGCTTGCCCAATATTGCACAGGCCAGTGGCCAAACTGCAAATAGAACCCAGGTCTCTTGATTCCCACGTCAGTGCCCAAGCCTCTAGCCCAGGGGTGGCCAACCTGTGGCTCCAGACCCACATGCGGCTCCTCAGAAGTTAATATGCGGCTCCTTGTATAGGCACCGACTCCAGGGTTGGAGCTACAGGCGCCAACTTTCCAGTGTGCCGGGGGTGGGGGGGCTCACTGCTCAACCCCTGGCTCTGCCACGGGCCCTATCCCCACCCCATCGCTTCCCACCCCCTCCCCTGAGCCTGCCATGCCCTCGCTCCTTCCCCCTCTCCCACCCCCGCAGCCTCCTGCACGCCGCAAAACAGCTGATTGGGAGGTGCGGGGAGGGAGGGGGAGGCGCTGATCGGCGGGGCTGCTGGTGGGACGGGAGGCGCTGAGAGTGGGGGTGGGGAGCTGATGGGGGGCTGCTGACGTATTACTGTGGCTCTTTGGCAATGTACATTGATAAATTCTGGCTCCTTCTCAGGCTCAGGCTGGCCACCCCTGCACTAGACCAGTGGTTCTCAAACGTATGTAATTGCGCCCCTGCCCCAGTGGTGAGCTGGAGCCGGTTCGCACCGGTTCGCAAGAACCGGTTGTTAAATTTAGAAGCCGGTGTAGAACCAGTTATTAAAGGGGCCGGCAGGTGGGCAAACTCCAGTCCGCGGGCCACATCTGGCCCATGGGACCTGTCACTTTGAGCAGCATGGGGGCCGGGGCTGGGAGGAGGGGTTGGATAAGGGGCAGGGAGCGGTTGGAGGGGGCGGAGGTTCTGGGGGGGCAGTCAGGGGATGGGGAACAGGGGGGTTGGGTAGGTGTGGGAGTTCTGGGGGTCTGTTGTGGGGGTGATGGTAGATGGGGTCGGGGCAGTCAGGGGACAGGGAGCGGGGCGAGTTGGGTAGGGGGTAGGATCCTAGGGGGCAGTTAGGGTGGGGGGTCTCGGGATGGGGTAGTCAGGGGACAAGGAGCTGGGGGGTTGATGGGTTGCGGTTTTGAGCCGGAGCGAGTGAAGCCCCCCCTGCCGCCGAAGTGCCGCCGAGGACCCGGTAGGGAACCGGTTATTAGGATTTTGGGAGCTCATCACTGCCCTGCCCCCTTCTTTGTATCTGGAGTAGTTTGTCTCTCTCCCGCCCGGCCAGTTGCCACTGCTCTCCGATCGCCCAGCTCTGAAGGCAGAGCAGAGAGTGGCAGCTGCTGGCCGATCACCCAGCTCTGAAGGCCGTGCCGCTGCCAGCAGCCGTGGCGAAGTAATGGTGACATGGTATAGTATTGGCATCCTTACTTATCTGCTGCTGCTGGTAGCGGCACTGCCTTCACAGCTGGGCGCCCGGCCAGCAACCATTGCTCTCTGACCGCCCAGCTCTGAATGTGTGCAGTAAGTAAGTTTCTCATGCCCCCCCAACCCCCCAAATACATTCTGTGTTCCCCCCCCAGGGAAGCATGCCCCCACCAGTTTGAGAACCTCGGCTCTAAACTGCACTTCCTGCCTAGCAAAATGACTTGCATTAAGATTGGTACAAATACTGGTTAAATGACTTGCACTAGGACTCACAGCCATGGATGCTAGTGAAACAACTTATCCTAACAAGCAGAGCCACCAATATTAGAAGAATGACTTGCAGTAGGACTATTTGCAGTGACTTATTGTAGCCAAGTTGGTCTTTCATTGGACCAACTTCTGTTGGTGAGAGGGACAAGCTTTTGAACTACACAGAGCTTTTCTTCAGGTTATAAGACTAATTGTGTTATCACTGACATCAAAGTCAAAATTCTCACAGTGGGGCAGGAGGGATAGCTCAGTGGTTTGAGCATTGACCTGCTTAAACCCAAGGTTGTGAGTTCAATCCTTGAGGGGGCCATTTAGGGATCTAGGGCAAAAAGCTGTCCGGGAATTGGTCCTGCTTTGAGCAGTAGGTTGGACTAGATGACTTCCTAAGGTCCCTTCCAGCTCTGATATTCTATTATTCTAATTTGCCTTGTCTAGAGTTTTAGAAGACATTAGCACATGCTAGCTAACACTCTCTACAGCACCCTTGAGCATAGTCAAGACAAATCCTGAAGGCAAAATTCACCCTCTTCCAGAGGAGCCAACACTAAGAGCTACGTGTCAGGGCATGTCTACCCCAACAGGTGTGTCTTTAACTTGGGTTGGCTAACTTGGGTTAAAACAGCAGTGAAGCGGGGTAACCATACATCCTCTTTTGGCCAGGACAGTCCCGTTCTTAAGCCCTATCCTGGCTGTCCCAACTTTTTGGGCAAAAATGGGCATTTGTCCAGTTTGCTCTTGAAAACGTGATCGGTTGGCAAGAGGAAACAGGACAAATGCCCACTTTTGTTAAAAAAAAGTGGAGTGTGGAGGAATGTGGCGGGGGGGTGAGTGGCAATGCCAGCCCCATGTAGGGGGAAGTAGGGCTCAGGCGAGCAGCGACACTACCCCCATTCAGGCCAGCCCCACACGGGGAGAAGGGAAGGGCTTGGGCTAGCCCCATGTGGTGTCCTGTTTTCCCTTTGGGAAATATGGTCACCCTAAGTGAAGACAATCCGCTTTTAAGCTGGGTGAGCCGCTGCCCTATAGGGTTGTACTGGAGCTCCTAACCCAAGTTAAAAGCTGAGTTGCCGTGTCTTCACCGCTGTTTTAATTCAAGTTAAGCTCATGCCTCCTTTTTTTTCATGGGGGGGAATGTCACCAGTCTGAATTTCATGTTGTGATTCAGCTAATCTCTACTATGCGACTCACTTCCCCCACACGTTCCCATGAGCCCAGCTTCACTCGTGAGCGTTTAGGCAAACGCCGTGATGTTCTATTTAGAAGCTGACATCACGGTCACAAATACGCTCTCTAATTGCCCAGTTCAGGGTGGAGCAAAGCCCATCACGTCCAAGTTTTTAAGGCTGGCGAAGGCAACCAACAAGCAGTTTCTAGCAACGTATCATGGAAAGCAAAAGTACAAGCAAACGTTAGGTTTGTGTGCATTTATTTTGGGTGTTTTAGCAGAATATCTACCTGTAGAGTGGGGCTTTCAAAAGCACCGAAGACAATAAGCAGCACAAATCCCGTTGGCTCGCAGTGGGATTTGTGCTCCTAGCGTCCATGGGCACTTTTGAAAATCCCACCCTCAGATTCAAAGACAAGTTGCCCCTGCGGCCGTTGGTATTGCAACATTTAGACACTCCTTATTTAGTAGCTGGCTTGTTACAATAACTAGCAGCTTTGCAGCATTGATGGAGTTCCCAGAATCATCCCAGTTTCAGAAGCGCTAAGAGGAAACGGGCCAGACTTCCACGCCTGTGATCTCAAACCCTTGCGTAGTAGGAAGAGAGCCTGAAATATAAGCCCTTGTATTGGAGACCTGAGCTAAAGTTTTGGGCAAGCTTTGCTGATATAAAGCGAAGTTAGCAGAAGTCAGGCTGTGAGCAAATGTCAGGCCCCGCCTGCTTTCAGGTTCACAGAATCTGGCAAGAGCAGGGCTGATATTGCAGAAACACAAATTCGTAAGAAGTGCTAGGCACAGATTACTCACGCAAACACATTCCAGAAGAGTGGTACCAGAACATCCCAGTAACAAGGATGGTACAAAAACATTCCCCACAGATAACAGGAACACACTGACCCCTCCTAAAAGATAAGGTCAGAATAATAGTGTAATAAATAAGAGGTTTTAATCAAACCAACATGTACAAGGTGATGGGTGATAATTCGCCACGTCAGGAGGCAGTAACTAACTATGTCAGAGGGGCAGTACTAACTTGTGTGTATCGGGGTACAAAGAGGTATCTCTGAGAGAGTGTCTTGGTCCAGCCGAGGGGGGAATGGAAAGTCCCGCCATTCACTGAGCTGTGTCCATTGCCACGGGCATACGTCTTAGAATCCTGGTAAAGTCTTTCAGGTGCTATTACCGTGCTTTGTCCACAATAAACCAGGCCTGGTGCCTTCGTACCTTAACGGCTCCTGTGGTCATGGAGTGGTTCGCTCGAGGTCTGCGGTGCTGGCTGGCTGTGCAAAGCTGGGGCAGTGTAACCCACACACCTCCTCAGTGTGGTGTTCTGTCCCATCTAGTGGCACCGAGACCACTTAGAGAGAGCGTTAAATGAGTCTGCTCTACAGCCAGTTGGCTTTTAGCTCAATCAGTAGAGGCTCATGCACTGAGCTCCAGAGGTCCCAGGTTCAATCCCGCCTGCTTATAACCGGGGTCTGTCAGCATTACAGCAGCACGCAGTGAGATCGCACTCATACGCAGACTAGCAACACCTTGAACTTCAGGGAAAGTGCAGGTCCTCATCCAAACTGATCAAGCATTGGCCCTTACCTAGGAGTCTGGGATGCTCCTCCCCTTAAGGCCCATTCCTGTGCCTAAGGTTGTCAGCTCACTGACTCCTAGGGACTGACTCCTAGCACTGAAGCATATCAGTAACAATGGCTCATTTTATGTTTTTTGTAGCTTCACACGATCAAACCACTCTGGCTCCTCCAGGCGTTTGCTGCACTCGGCGCGGAGAGAGCGGTACCGGGATTGGCGGAAAGCGGGGCGAATCATCAGGAAGGCATGAGGATGCCTCGTGGGTCCTTTCTGAAGCTTGGCATGGGATGCTCACTGATCCTGAGACACACAATCCCTTGTGAAGTCTGCACTGTGAGGGCCACCTACTTGTCATCTTGCAGTAGCCAGTGTGAAAGCATCCAGGTACCACAGTCTGCATCTCTGCCTGACACGTCTCTTCCTGAGACTGACCAAGCTTTTATTGCGCCGAGATTGCTGAGTCGGGCACAGCTGAAGAGGCAAGAATAAGTTTCATCCAGGGATCAAGGTGCTGTTCCTCAGTGAGGACACACCCGGACGAGACCCATCACAGCCACTGGGTGAGATCAGCCAGGGGTGGGGTGACGTTTATTTTTGTCACGCTGCAAAGAGAAGAATGAGCTCATCCACGTATTTCAGAAACATCCATTATTGTAGCTTTTCGGGGTGACTCTTCTTTTTCTTTCCTAGGGCAAGTGGGTTGCACTTAACTCCTACAGAGTGAAATTCACCCCTCTGTGGAGGGCCACACGCTATTTCAGTCCCACTGAAATTCTAATTTGAGGACTTAAATGATGGACAGGCAAAATTTTCAACAGTCATTGCTGATTTTTGGGTACCTAACCTGGGACACTTTATAGGGGCCCGATTCCCAGGAACTCCTGAGCACCCACCTTCTAAAAGTTAGTCTCCTTTACGGTGTCTCAATTTGGGCATCTAAAAATCGCAGCACTCAGAATTAATCACTTGTGAACTGTTGGCCCTCTGCACAGGAATGACTCTCACTCACAGGGAGAAAAGAACTGTCTCTTTCTTACACCCACCACGCTGAAATGCATCTGAGACATAGAGATCCATCTCACTGCATGGCATAGCACCACATTAGGAATTAGTCCGCCTGCTAAAATCTATTCATAACATCTCCCAACCAGCGTAGTTCGGCTGGATCTGAGCAGCAGTGCCTAATGTAACAGCAGCGTTTGAATGAACAGATAGATGGTGCTGAAAGATAGTGTTTCTCTTAGTAGAGTCTTTATTTGAAGCATTGACATTATGGTGTAGGGAAAAGTCTCAGTTTTCACCTCCTGCAGTCACATGTAGCCGAGTCAAATTAAGAATGGAAGAGGATCTGTTACTATTGGACGGACTCTTGTAATAAGCTTCACATGTCCTCTAAAAATGAATGGTGTCCTTTGTAGGTAGAACTGGCTGCCTTATTTGTTGAACAGAACAGTCAGCATGAATGTAGCTTTTTTTCTGTGTGCGCCTCTTCCGCTCTCTGATTCCTTCTCATGGATTCACTATATGGAAGGCTTCACCGAATGTTTTTCAACGTTTGTGGTGTTGATTGTTTTCAAATTGTTCGCTTTGACTATCATGGTGTGTGACTGACCCCTTAAGTCACATGGGGTTGTGTCTGCTCCCTGACTGGGTGATTTCAATTTTTTAACTTAGAGAATCCAAACAATAAGTAGCAAATAACTCACTTTCTGGTACTGAATTTCAGTGAATAACCAGTCTTGCCAAAATCTGTGGCACTGTAGCGAGGCGACGACTCACCGGCGCGGCGCCTCCTGCTGGTTGTCCTGGGAATTAGCTCTTCCAGCCCGGAGCGCCCTCTGCAGGCCGGTGTCTCTCCTGCCGCTGGCCCCCGTGCCCCTCCCAGACCCCGGTGCCCCTCTACATCAGGATTCTGCCCCCAGCAGTAACCCACAATCTGGGTCTCCCCACCCAGGGGAACTCCCAACCCTCTATCCCCCCCTCACCTCAGTGGCTACTGCCAGTCACCATCTAGCCCCCGCTCACTGGGGCAGACGCAGTCTGTAAACCCCTCATCATCAGCAAGGGAGGTTGGACCAGCTGCCTCTGCCTAACCCTGGACTGTCCCTCTGCAGCCCTAGTACCCTCTTGTGGGCCCTTAACTCGGCCTGCAGCCTGGGGCTTTGCTAGGCTGGAGCTCCCCAGCTCCCTCTGCCCTTCCCCAGCACTGCTCCACCCTAGGTACCCTCCTCAGCTCCCGGGCAGCCAGGTCCTTCTCTCTCAATGAAGCTAGAGAGAGTGTCTCCCCTGCCTCTGGCCCTCAGCCCTCTTATAGGGCCAGCCGTGGCCTGATTGGGGCATGGCCCCACCTGTGGCTGCTTCCCCCCAATCAGCCTTTCCTTTCCCAGCTGCAGCCCTCTCCAGGGCTATTTTAACCGCTCCGGGCAGGAACGGGGTGGCCACCCTGCTACAGCACGCTTCGAATTTGTGGGCATTTTCAGAAATTCCCAGTGTGTCATGAATAATAAATAACAGAACCCCTGAATAACAGCAAACCAAACACAATGCGCTTTAGTAGCGGAAATATTAGGGAACCCCTTTTTTTCAAATAGCTCTAGTTCTGTGGGAGAAACATACAATTGGATTGTTTTTCCTTGCTGTGCGTGGTCTGCTGGCCCCTCCCTTGTCTTTCTAGTCTTAACATGAATTTGATATAAAAGGTGGTTTTACTTAATTGTTTGTGCAATGCATGATGGGATTGCCCCTGGTTATAAAAGCCAAGAACCTGCCCTCAGTTGAAGCCAGTAGTCCTGGAAGCTACTAAGGGTGATGCAGTTGGGCTGTTCCTTTGTTAAGGAAACATTAATGGGTGTGAATACCGGGTTATGTTGACCATACGATCGGTTTATATTCTGTGTTTACTTTTTCTGTAGATCTTCAAATAAACTGATTTACATGAAAACATTTAGACTGTCGTCCTCTTTGCTCATTCCTTGCACACCTCCCAGCAGTCTTTGAGTTCAGTGGGCAGAATCCACCCCTGCGCTGAGCCACTTAGGAGACCCAGTGAGACTACTTGTTCAGTGAGGCGCTATTCAATGTGGCTGATGGTAGGCCTTAAATAAATGCATGGTCCTATTAAAACAATAGGACTGAAATGCACCAAGAATGAACTTTTTATTGTCTAAAGCAGTGCTTCTCAAAGTCGGGCCGCCGCTTGTGTAGGGAAAGCCCCCGGCGGTCTGGGCTGGTTTGTTTACCTGTCACGTCCGCAGGTTCGGCCGATCGCGGCTCCCACTGGCTGCAGTTCGCCGCTCCAGGCCAATGGGGGCTGCGGGAAGGGCAGGCAGCACATCCCTTGGCCCGCGCCGCTTCCCGCAGCCCCCATTGGCCTGGGACAGCGAACCGCAGCCAGTGGGAGCCGTGATCGGCCAAACCTGCGGACATGGCAGGTAAACAAACCGGCCTGGACCACCAGGGGCTTTCCCTGAACAAGCGGCGGACTGGCTTTGAGAAGCACTGGTCTAAAGCATGTTTTAAAAGAAGCAAATGTCCTTTGCTAAAAGCCCCAAGCTCAATACACTATGAGTGCCTAGTGCAAAAGCCACCCTGCAGTGTGGCCATCTGATGTCCTTCTAATCTAAGGCAATACCAAAATTCAAACCTGGAGAGCTTGTTTTAATCTGTTGCTGTGAGACACAGCACCAGAATTCAAAGATGCTACAGTCATGGTTAGTTTCACTTGTACTCTTTATAGTCAAAGAAACCACAAGTATCTTTGCATCCACAGGGGGCATCCTGCAATATGTTTACAGCATCCAATCTTACTAATTCTCTCCTCACACCACTATGGGCAAAGCCATGCCTCAGGATCAAGGCCAACTCCATACTTAAGCCAACTTGAATAGAAAAAGGATTAACAAAAATTAAAGATATAATACAAGACGACAGACTGGCCTCCTTCGAGGACATATGCAACAAATGTCAGCTACTGCCGGCTCACAGTTCCTTCTTCAAGGATTCATGCAAAGATATGTGACAACTGGTCCGTTTCAACTCTCTCACCACTAGAAGAACGTGTTACGCAAAAGTCACTTTGTAGGAATTGTTTATAGGTGGCTTATTGCATTACACACTCAAACTCTGTCTCAAAATAAAATGGGGAAATGAACTTCGTCTTGCAGCTGGGAGGATAACTGGCTTAATATGAAAACTACCTCAAGTTCTTTATCCCTGCGATTCTTCCAGAACAAGATATTAAACAGGTATTACTGGACTCCAGTATGAATGCTGGAGATGCAAACAGCCCCATGCCAACCTACCACACATCCTCTATACCTGTCCAAAAATGCATGTCTTCTGGAACACCATAGTCAGTGCTTTCTCAAAACCTTTAAGCATTGCTCTCCTTCTCCAAGCGTGTGTATTTTAGGGGTGCTGGATGTTGTATGACCAGGTAATTGCAGTAACTAATTTTAGTGGCCAAATAAGTTATTTTGAGAAAATGGAAATCTGCAATTCCTCCCTCCTATGCAGCCTGGCTTAGTGAGCTCTCTGCTGCTGCATCAGTGGGAAACTGAGTCTGTCTAATAGCGACGCTTGGGGAAAACATGAGAATGTGCGGTGACCCCTGAAACGATTGTGTCCTTTTGCAGTTTAGTATATATTAGTCCCCAGTATTCAGAGGTGAGGCTCAGATTTTGTCACAGATATTTTTAGTAAAAGTCACAGGCAGGTCGCGGGCAATAAAAAAAATTCACAGAAGCCCGCGACCTGTCTGTGAATCCCTGACAAAATGGGGAGGGAGAAGGGTCCAGCACCCACAGCGGCTGGGGGCTCTGGGATCCCCTCGCTCCCCACTGCAGTGGCTGGGAGCTCTGGGGTCCCCCTATGGGCCACTGCAGCTGGGCTGCTGCTGGGGGGGCCCCTCGCCACCCGCCATGGCTGAGTGGCTGCGGGGAGCCCCATGGCCTGCAGCGAGTGGGAGCTCTGGGGTCCCCCGTCACTCTCAGCAGCTGGGAGCTGTGGGGTCCCCCCACTGCCTACGGGGGCTGGGAGCTCTGGGTCCCCCTGCTGCCTGACAGCTAGGAGCTGCTGGGGGCCCGACGCCAGCTGCGGGTGAGAGACGGGGCTGCTACCTGACAGCTCCAGCCCTGGGGCAGAAAATGTCGCGGAGGTCTCTGGAAGTCACAGATTCCATGACATAATCGTAGCCTTTCTCAGAGGTTATGGTCTCATTTATTTATCTATTTAGTCACTCGAACAATTGATGGCCTGCGTGACCAATACAGGTTCGGGGGGGGGGTTGTTTGTTGATTTACTTGTTTTATTTTCCCCCCGGGTTTTACAAATAGTGAACACTGAATGTCGTTATTTATATGGTGTTTCCATCTTGTGCACGTATTTATGTTTTGTTTCATTACGTATTTATATGTTACATAAAAACAATAAAAAGAAAGTTTAAAAAAATAAAAAGAAATTATGGCCCTTACAAGAAAACCACCCCCACTAGCATGACAAAAGCCATATCCCTATTACAGGGGCCACTTCTGCTTCACTTTGTGCTACACTTTGCACGGGGCCTCGGACAAGAATCTGAGAACTGGAACCAATGCAAACAGACACGTCTCTGGCACAAGACCAGCCTCAGCAACTGCATTATGGCTCCCGTTATTTTTCAGTTTTGAAAATCAAAGGGCTGAAATATGTAATTGTAAGTTCAACCCCACCTACAAAGAACTCCATGGCCTTTGAGAACCGCTGGACAACTCCCGAAGTGCCAGACAACGGCAGGACAGTGCCTGGAGTAATGTGGCTGGTTGCAGCCGTGGATTTGTGATCTTAAACACTGCCCCAAATGCTCCTGTAGGGACATAATAAATAATAATAATAATGCCTAGGTCTTACTAGAGCACTTTTCATCAGTAGAACTCAAAGCTCTTTATAAAAGAAGCAACTGTTTGAAGTCTCCCCAAAGCTAAGAAAAGCAGTGTGGTCACACACTCTAGGGTTAAGGTTGATATGATTGCTACGCTCTAACCCACTCTAACTTTTCACAGAAACTTCCCTTTTGGGCTGAAACTTCTTAGAGGAACACTGGGGCTGCCACGCCAGATCAGAGCAGTATCCATCTAGTCCAGTGTATTGTCTCCAATACTGGCCAGTACTAGATGCTTCAGGGGAATGCACAAGAAACCAAGGAGTGGACAATTTTGGAATATCCTGCCCATAAGGGAAGTGTGTACCTAACCCCTGACAGTCAGTGATTGGCTTATGCCCTGAAGCATGAAGGTTGCCCTTTATGCATTTTTATATGGAGATACACACCTATCTCATAGAACTGGAAGGGACCCTGAAAGGTCATTGAGTCCAGCCCCATGCCTTCACTAGCAGGACCAAGTACTGATTTTGCCCCAGATCCCTAAGTGGTCCCCCTCAAGGATTGAACTCACAACCCTGGGTTTAGGAGGCCAATGCTCAAACCACTGAGCTATCCCCCACCCCAACTGTGGATGTTTTGTGATTCATGCTAAACTCTTGCCCTCAATGATATCTTGTAGCAGTGAGTTCCACAGATTAATCGCGAATTATATAAAAAAGTATTGGCCTCAGTACTCAGCTTGAAAGCTTGAGCAAAATCCATTCACCCATTTTCAAGTGGTATAAAAAGGGAAGGAGGGACGGGTTTCAACAGTACACTTTTTCTGCTGTAGTCCCATTTTGCAGGCCTTTTTTTGCACACAACCAGCTGAAAAATGGCTCAACTTAAACATGACAAATTTGGCATGGGCCTGGATCTCAGGGAGGAAGTCATTTTGCTAAACATAAAATAAAACCAATTTCCTCAGACTTTGTGGATTTTCCCCCAAATCGGGTGATGTTTGAGGTATACAGTAGGCAAGGTGAACAAAAATGAA